CAATTTGAATTTTTTTTAAATTTAAAATTAGAAATGTTTAATTAGAAATGTGTGACTTTAGAGTCAGAAATTATCGACTGCTTTTTAAATTTTAACATTTTATTGCGATTTTATAAAAAGATTGTGGCGAAAAACAACAAAGACAGCGGATAAAAAAAACAAAAAAAAAAAATGAAAACAAAAAGCCCTGAGCGAAATATGTTGATAAAATAATATAGAACGCTGTCATTAGATTAGACTGTTTACTTTATTGGACATAAGCAATACACTTTCAAAGCAATACACTTTCAACTTTATGAAGAAATTCCCGTTTAAAAAAAAATTCAACTAAGTTTATTTTCATCGACAATATGAGATATGTGTTGCCAGTGTGAAGCTTTGTTATCCAGAACTTTATGACATATTGTCTTTCGTAAGCTTATATGTTCATAGCCAAAATTGAATTTGCCAATATGAAGATTTATTATCCATAACTGTATACATGATCTTAGCTAATATTGAATTTGGCTGTACGCAGATTTATTTTCCAGAACCTTATAACATTTTTTTTTCGTAAGTTTAATTAAACAATAAGACGGTAAATCGCACTGATAATCTCGAATAAATTAAAAACTATAACGTGTGTCTTCCTGAGCCGACTCAGCTTAAACAAGATCCCGGCTTAAATCGGGAGTGGTGTTTGTTCTTCCCAACAAGAAAGCCCTCAGCCGTTTGACACTTAACACATGTTTCGTCACTTGAATTGAAGTTCGACCTTTTATCATCAGTATTTAACACTAGCGACTTTTAATTGAAATTATTTTTAAAAAAAAAGGTGAATGAAGACGAGGATGACAAAGACGAACAAGGAGAGTGACAAAGTATCCAGCAAGTACCACAACAACATCTGGTGGCCCGACTCGATTACTTTATCCGGGCCGTCTGCCCCATTCATCCGGCCCTGCCACAATAAACTCACCTCCGACCCTGTGGTCAAGGCATGAATTGTCTCCCTTAAGGCCGGGGGGAGGACAGGGGCGACAAGCGAAAGGGTAGAGCAGGGGCCCAGCACTCCAGCGCCAAGTACCAGGATAAACTCCCCTTGCTCTCGCGAGAAAATACGCTGCTTGGATGGTGAGCTCTTCATCCGGGGACCGTGGACAGCGATAATGCGCATATTAATGATAATAACAGGCAATTTCCCCGAGCAAATAATCTGGTCCCACGTCCTCCCGTGCGTGGACAATACGCCACGAGCAAAACGGTGGCCACACCGGCCGTGAGGAACAATGGCCGCCAGATGACAATCTTCAACTTAATGCCACGTTTTGGCGTCGCCTCGAGGCTACCAGCGCCTGACCAATCAGAGATGGTCTAGCCATATATGGGCATTGGGAGCTGGCTGGCTAGTGGTTGAGAGGTGGCTGGATAGTGGGGGGGGGGGGGGGGGAGCAAGCATGGTCAGGACATCATGTCCTAGTGGATAATCGGTGTAATTAAGTGTCAAATTAATGATCTTTCATTAATTAGCCTAACGTCCTAGCACTTCATACCAACCTCTCTGATAACTGTTAGAAATATAAGTTTTAAAAAACAAATACTTCATCTTAAAACACGGTGTTTCTAATAAATCATTCGGTGATATTCACTCACCTTTTAAAATACAATTGTCACGTGACCAAGGTATAGATTCTAGTCTAAACGACAATCATTATAGGAACAGTGAACATCAGCGTACTGAAGAGGATTAAGGAAGGATGTGTGCGTGTGACGATGAATGGAGGAGTGAGGGGGGGGGGCTGTACGACAAGAACACCTGGTTTTTGTGCCCACCCACGCAAGACATTTTAAACATTTTTTCCAAACGACAACAGCGATTTTCTCTTCTTTCTCTGAATGCGGCAAAAAATGATTATTGTGTTTACTGATGCCTGGAGTTTGTGGTTTAGATTATATTTTCTGACCGCTTAAACACCTTCTCTGTGTTGAAATTATCGTAAGGATTATAATACTGTTTTTTTCTTCTTTAATTGCAAGTGTTTGCAACACGACAGTGGCGTAGCTACACATCTAGGCGTCGTGGTAACTAGCCAACCCTTGTATTTATAAGGACAATGTGCCTATGGTGCGAATCTTCTTCTCTTGGATGACTTTTAGTCCCGCACTGTTCAGTATTACACCCTGTAAATTAGCGCTTCTTTCCTTCTGTGACAATGGACCATGAAGATATCAACTGGTCACTACTGGACACGAACAACCTACAGTCTCGAGACGGGGAACGATGTCTGGCCATAGTAGGCTCTACTACTCGACCAGGCTGTCCCACATGTATGAAATATTCGCTCTGTTTTTTCATACACATAACCTACGTCACGTGAGACGTTCTACCATATAAGCCCAGTTTACGTCATCTGCCGTCCCTCCACACACATACGCTCACCTCACATATAGTATTTTCTAAAGCTCACCTTACATATTATAGTATTTTCTAAAGCTCATCTCACATATAGTATTTTCTAAAGCTCACCTTACATATTATAGTATTTTCTAAAGCTCATCTCACATATAGTATTTTCTAAAGCTCACCTCACATATATAGTTTTCTTTACACACATATAACGTACGTCACATACAGTACTTTAGTAAACACATAGCTAACGTCAAATGCTCCGCCTTCACACCAGTGTTTCTTCCAGGCATCCCCCCCACCCACCCACCAAAGAGTCTACCGCCCCCCAAACGAAATGGAATGTATATAGAAAATATATATTTTTAACACTGTCCTCCCCCCCCCCCCCGAAAATTTCAAGTGCCCCCACCCCCTCAAGAAAAAAGTCTGGAATAAACACACTGCTTCACACATACATAGCTTACGTAAAATGTGTTCACACACATACACACACACACACACGGCGTACGTCATATGCTATTTCCCCACACATGTAGTCGACGTTACTTACCGTTCCTGAAACCCACCACACGACGTACATCCCACACACCTCCAGTATGTGTGAACGGGGTGTGTGGTCCCACACAGAGAGGCGTGTCCCCCTCCATTGAGGCTGACAGCAGGAAATCCCTTTCATTCACCACTGACAGTCTAGTGATAATGACAACACAAGCCGCCTACATTTAGATAGACTCCACGCATTGTCAGCCAACGGTTTGGCCCACACCCATCTCTAAGTGGCCCCCGTCCCCCTCCCGTGCGGCCCGCCGTACCCCCGGGGGTATGTGAGAAAACCTGGCTGACATGCCCGGGGGTTATATTCCAGGTGATTGACGTCGACAGAATAGATGTCAGTGCTGATTCGCCTCCCGTCCGTCAGTACGGGCTTGCGAGATCCGCTATTCTAAACAAGTCTTTTACAGGCTAGATGGCAGAGGATAAGCCAGGAGGTCCGGCTGGTCCATTGTGGCCGAGCACCCGGTGGAAGAATTGACCCAGCAACAATGGCTGACCAGAGGAGCTAAAGAAACCATTCACCATCAATATTGTGACTGGGAACGTGGACATGCGTTAAAAGAATAAATCCATTCCGGCCATGCATTAAAAAAAAGTAAAGAAACAAGGAAAGCACATGTCCATCCTGTGAAATATTTTTATTTGACACAATTTCAGCATCTGCTTCGTGGAGGTCTAGTTAAAACTACTAGAATAGCAATGTTTAATGCAGTGTCACCGCTAAGCTTTACAATGTTGTGTTCAACGTGAATTGACAACAGCCACCTTCAACTCATTATAATGAAAACTAAACGTGAAGGTACCCTGACCGGTTGAAGATTTGACACTCATCTGTATGTATGACAGGGGTCAAATTTTATAGCGAATATCTAGTCGCACTAACTGAGGTGGAAAATGTATTTAGTTTTGTTGAAACATTCAATAAAAGCGGTCCTAAAAATTGTTGGCTTTAACAAGTTATAGGTATTCCATTGTTGTGGAAATAATTTTTTTTTATTATTGAAATCATGGCATAGCATTTTAAAAACGCGATATATGAAATTGTCTGGTAACTGTTCGCCCCCCTTTTCCCCATGTAGAGAAATCTTAAAATCTTAGTCAAAATATACTAAACCACAACATATTAGGAGCAGCTATACCTGCTGCTTGTAAATACTTCCCCAGATGAAATATTGGCCTACATCCCATTGCTAAATAGACCCTAGTAGATTTGTGAATTTAAATTGAAGAGCAATACTTACTTAAATTAACTATTTAGCTCAATTTAAAACTTAGCAGAAGAAATTGTCAAAAGAGCAAATATATTTTGTTTTATTAAAAAAAAAAAATTCTGAGACATACCAAAGGAGAAAACTGTGTTTATTTTAGAAATTGAATTCATGTATTTGTTACCTCCCTTGCTGGTGCGTAAAAAGACCAAGATGAGTTTTCATTTTTGCTATAAAAACCTTTAAAGCGTTTGAAATGTTTTAGATGTTCAAAAAAAAAAAAACAATTTGCTTTGAAGACTAACGGTTATTATTTTTACCGTTTCCATCTACCAGAGAATAAAAACAATTCTATTAAAAATAACTTAAATCTGTTGCCACCCTATAGGTCTGAACACTTAAAGTTTAATCAAATTTTGAACTTCTGCACAATTTACCACCAAGATATTAAGTTTAATAGGCCCATGTATCACAGATACATAAAACATTACTCATTTTGCTGGTATTCTCCATAGAACTCTACCCATGAAATCCACCCACCTTTTACTATTTCACCTTTAGACAGGTTAATCTACACTTGGCGTACACTATCTATAGATAGCTTAATAATAATAACTCCAGATTATGCAATTTTAGTTTATTCCCTAATTCCAAGACATTCCTAGGCTTACATTACCCTTTCCATGATAGCATTAGTTTATGTTATTTTGGGTATATTGTAGGTCTGTTTACATCTTGTAAGCATTCATTTGAGATTGTCTTAGCCAAATTCTTTTTAAAAATGTATCTTATGATATAACCATCTATATTATCAGCTGTAGTATTAAATCACTAAAAATACAAATTATCAGGTAAATATTTATTTTCAAAATTTTCTCATTTAACAACAGTTATCAATGTAAAATGTTGGGTATAAAAAAGATTAGCAAAAGAGCTAAACACAAAATATTGGCAAACGAAGAACATGTTCAAATATGCAATGATGAGAACCACAATTTTAAAAATGTAAATTGTCAGCAATAACTTTAACATTTGAATTTAGTTACGATAACGGATTTTGGTAAATTTATTTTTTTTAACATAAATATGGACAGAAAAAAGTTTACTACAGTCTTATACATCACAAAAACATAAAAAATGAACTAATTAATTGGTGCTTGGCAGAAAAAAACATAACTGCGAGTTGAGAAACAGTTGAGGCAGGTTTAGATAAAGCCAGTGCTGTTGAGCCCAAACAAGACAGTGTTGACCAAAAGGCCCAGAAAACCGATGTACCCAAAAGCTCCACGGTTTCGCTTGGATGGATCTGTGGGTTATAAAAATAGCCATTCAATTTTAAAATTTGTAAATCGTTACATCTTTACCAATATTTTCAGCCATTAACATTACTTCTGATAAACTGCTAATTGTTTAGTTTAAAATTTTTATTATCAAGTTAATTAAAATAGAGATTTTAGGTTTGCGCAATACAAAACTAATAAAAAATAGTTTCAAATTTTGTCCAAAGTGTAGTAAAATGATCTCACCAAAGGTGTAGTAGCCATGAGCATAAACAATCCTGCTGACAAGCCAGAGAGCACCAAAGCCAGCACTTAGCCTCTGTTGATCAGATATACCATTTCAATATTTTTAAACACAGCATTCTAAAATATAACAAAGCAAGTCTTGATCTTATAAAAAGGGGAGGTCACTGTCTTTGTTTTTTTTCAGTTTTTATTTCAACAAACTAAGCCATGAATGATGGAACTGTTATAATTATAAGATTAAATTTAGCCATCATATTGTAAAACTTTATTTGACATATATATAGATAACATCTTGGTTTTCATATCAACTTTTTTCCCATAAGAATAAATCTACTTACAGGCAGCTGAAGCCCTCCCAACAAAAGAAAGGCAAGAAATTGGGGATACACCTCTAGTCTGAAATATGAATTCATTTATATCAAACATTCATGAGATACATTGTCATTATGTTGCATATTAAGTATTTCAATGCAAGTTCAAATTTAAAAACTGACAAAAATTTCATTGAAACCAATGGATATGCAAAATTCTTAAAAATGACATGCACAGCAATCTTACGTGTTTTGATGCGCTCGCTGGATACAGTTAAATTCACGGCTGGTATCGCTGTACAAATTGGGATACTAAAAATAAAATAGAAAAATTATCTTTTTATTATTTTGTAGTTTTTAAACAAAAATTTATGAAAGTTAAATTAATAATATCACAAGATTAATTTCAAAGCAATCGATGCATGAACCCTAAAATATGCACAAAAAGCAAAATAACCAGCAAAACTTGTTATATTGGTTGGTTTCTACTGTTTTGCCAATTACACTAATGTAGAACCTGTCCAAATAATAAACTGTCCACAAATATGTGTAGTTGAGAAAATTGAACAGGCACATGTGGTAAAATACAAGAAGAAAATAATATGATTTATTAATATTTCAAGTGTTGGAGTTTTGATGATACCAATGTCAGACAAAAGATTTTCAAAAATAGGTGGGTTAAGTTGTCGGTAGTATATCTTATATTTAGAGTATGCTTATATGTAATAATTCTTCGATAATGGAATTTTCTTTAATAAAAGATACTGGTGAGAAATTAAGAACTAACATAACTGGCAAATGTCAATGCTAAAACTATCCCTTATTCAACAATATCAATATCATAGATCTAACTTTTAGCTTTGTACTACTACTACCAGTGATCAACAATGGACTATTCTATAAAATGTTTATGTGTTAATTAGGTTAATGTTAGTAGATCTAGTAGTAAAATCAGGTTTAGTGCTGGGATAAGAAATTACTATAATTAGTATGATTTACTAAAAGTTAAGTTAGAGTTCTGGTTAGGTTAGAATACAGAAAATTATTGCTGCTACTAAACATTGTTCTAATCATTTTTAATATTTGCGTAATCATTTTACTAGGCCTAGATCTAGATCTTATTCTAAAATGATTTTCACAAATCCTCTGCAAAAAAAATTAAACTAGTTACTACACTTGATTTAACTATTGACTTAAAAGTAAGTTTTAATTTAGTAGGCCTACATCGACTTAATTATATTTTAACGGTCAAATAAAAAATGGTTTACAATAATTAATGTTAACAAAACTCCACAAACATTACTGGATAATTTCTGGTTTTACAGAATGATTACCAGCATTTTAAAGTTTTAAGTTAGGGATAAGACTTCAGTGTTAGCTTTAGTAACAAACACAAGTAGAGAATCTAGATCTAGAATCTAATAAGAAGTAAAGTTAATATATTATTTATTATAGGCTGACCATTAGTCAATGAGATAACTTTCATATTTAAAAACTGCCCAAAGCTCTAGACTGATTTTTCAAATATTTTTTTTTACCACTGTCTCTTATTAATTTAAAATTAAAATGATATTAATTTCCAATACACAAAGCAACCGCTTTTCCAAATCTACTGAGGTGCAGCTATTTATTATTTATAACCTTGTTCTAGATCTAGATCTAGTACAATTAGGCCTATTTATATTACTTTTCAATTTTTTTTTCATTTTTGCATCTATTTTAAAAATATTAATTTGAAAACAATAGCCTCTAACTCTAGATCTATTATAATATAAATGTTGGTAATCTATTGTTTTAGGTACGTAAAATCGCCTGCGGCTAGTAATGTACGAAAAAGTTACCTCATTGTCAAGGCTTTAATAGAAGTATATTGTGATATATTTGTGTCAAATATTATAGATAAATGAATAATAAACCTAAATCAATGGCTAAATATAATAAATATAGGCAAGAAATTAACTTTAAACAGCAGTGTTTGCGAGCAGGATTTGCTATATAAAAAGCGGCCATCTGTAAGTTAGAGTGGCTTCTTCTCAATCTCACGCTATAAGTTTATAAAAAAAAACTTCAAAAAGATGGCTGCTATAGTAAATGAGCAATGTTGCATCTATTGGAAACATTGCTAGTTTTCATTTATTACTGAAAAGTTATTAATTCAATTGTTTAAAAACAGGTACATAAATGAAACAGGGAAACATTTTTCATTGTATTTTTCAAAACATAAATCCTCCTCAAAACGTGAAATAATTATTAAAATTTAAGGTGTCACCTGATTTTCACATTACTAGTCTAGGGCTTTGTTACGTACCTAAACCGATAGATTACCTAATACCTATATAATATATCGACCCTATGCTCTAACTTCTAACGCTAAATTAAATCAACAAAACAAAATGAGTTAAATAAACGTTAAAACGGTAAACCACCCACTTGTGGTTCTTACTTAATAGTACATACTACTTAGATCTAGATCTATAACTTAACTAAACTATTCTTGACTAGAGAAATCATAAAAATAATACAATTAAATTAGTAGGCCTAAAAAAAAATGGCCTAAATTTAGTAAATAAATACTAGAGTAAAGTGGCGTCTGCGGACAGTTTCCCCAGTGTGGACACTTTGCTGCTTTTCGCTTAATATAAAAATGGTATTAATGTTTTATACGGAATTGCAGCAAACGACACTATGCATGTCCATTTTTAAACACATCCGGGTCAAGTCCTTTTTTTTCCCTCCTAGTGGAAGACGAATTGGAATTTTTGAAAGTCTCGAGGTAAGATGTTTTCTTTAGTTAACATACCCCGGATGAAGAGCACTAGGCCCCGGATTAGTGGAATAAAACGAGCCAATCATAGCTTATTTAACTGGGTTAACTATAAATAGCTTATATATATATATATAGAACACTATAAATATCATAGTTAAGGTTGTTTAAGCTATCTTAAAGGAAAAATTGGGGTGTCCGCATAAGGGATATACTTTTTGAAGGGTTAACCTTTTGCGGACACCAAAAAAAAAAAAATCCGACTATATTAGGGCCTACTTACACTTTAAATAAAAATATCTATATTTAAATCTAAGTCTAAATCTAAGGTTTTTTTTTTAAATGTTAATAGTTTTTTAATTTTTTTTAGATCATCAATCTCCACAAACGTCTACTAATCAAAAAATGAAAAAAAAAAAAATCAGTCGGGTCTCACATGACCCTGAAATTGTTAAAACTGCTATAGCAGCCATCCAATCTAAACAATTCTCTGTAAGGGAGGCAGCTTCCAAATTTGGAATCCCTAGCTCCACACTACAAGATAAAATGAAGGAGAGACTGCCAGTCGTGGTCACTGAAAGTACTCTTCTAACACCAGAAGAGGAGAACCGGTTGGCCAAGTGGTTGATGGAGTCGGCCCAGCGCGGGTTTGGAAAGACCCATGAAGATGTTAAAGAAACGGCAAAAGCGATCATGGCAACGAGAAACGCTGCTTGCAAAAGCAAAACAGAATTGCCATCAAACAAGTGGCTTTATAATTTTTTGAAGCGCCACCCGTTTCTGTCTGCGAGAACCCCCATGCCCCTCGGCAAAGAGCGAGCAACTGTAACCCCAGCAGCTGTGGCAAAATGGTTTGCCACCTTCAAAGCCTGTGTCGATGGCATTGACCCGACAATTTTGGAATCCCCTGAGAGGGTATTTAATGCCGATGAAACCGGTTTCGGTTTTGACGTAAAAAGCAGGAAAGTTGTAGTGTGCAAAGGCTCAAAACACGTGTACAATGTCACGTCAAACACCAAGTTACAGTTTTGGCGTGTGCTCGTGCTGCTGGGCAGTACACACCGCCCATGCTGATTTATCCATATAAACGCATCCCAAACAGAAATTTGTTAGATGGTTTCCCTGAGGCGAACCTACAGCTATCCGACAATGGGTGGATTAACGCTGCAATTTTTCACTCTTGGATTAGGGATTGCTTTATCCCAAGTGTAGACCACCTCAAAAAACCAGTCCTTCTTCTGGTGGATGGCCACACCAGCCACACATCACTTGTGGAGACATCCGAACTATGCGCAGAAAACTGCATAGTTCTATACTGTCTGCTAGCTCATGCCAGTCACCTAATGCAGCCATTAGATCAGGCTTTCTTTGGCGTGATCAAGCCTGCATGGGCTGACGCTATACGTGCCCATGTGGCAGAAACAGGGGACGGAGTTAACCTTGAGTCGTTCGCCAAAGTACTGAAACCTGTTTGGGCAAAAGCAGCATTGCCTGATATTGCTGCCAAGAGTTTCAAGGCTGCGGGTATATAGGCTACCCATTTAACCCAGACAAGGTGCTGAATTCCTGCAAGTTGGCACCTAGTATGGTGTACGTTGCCACGCCAGCAGGTGATGCTACTGCTGCAACAACCCATCAAAATTTACCCACACCTGAACCACCCCTAACTAGCCCTGACAACCAATGCGACCAACAAATAATAGTTTTGCCCCCCATTGATTTTGACACAGGACCATCAACTCACATTCTGGACACTACAGACAACTACCCAGGACCATCAACTCAAATTCTGGACACTACAGACAACTACCCAGGACCATCAACTCAAATTCTGGACACTACAGACAACTACCCAGGACCATCAACTCAAATTCTGGACACTACAGACAACTACCCAGGACCATCAACTCAAATTCTGGACACTACAGACAACTACCCAGGACCATCAACTCAAATTCTGGACACTACCGACAACTACCCAGGACCATCAACTCAAATTCTGGACACTACAGACAACTACCCAGGACCATCAACTCAAATTCTGGACACTACCGACAACTACCCAGGACCATCAACTCAAATTCTGGACACTACCGACAACTACCCAGGACCATCAACTCAAATTCTGGACACTACAGACAACTACCCAGGACCATCAACTCAAATTCTGGACACTACCGACAACTACCCAGGACCATCAACTCAAATTCTGGACACTACCGACAACTACCCAGGACCATCAACTCAAATTCTGGACACTACCGACAACTACCCAGGACCATCAACTCAAATTCTGGACACTACAGACAACTACCCAGGACCATCAACTCAAATTCTGGACAACAGCTCAAATCAAGAAGATGCTGAGTTCAGCGAGGAGCAGTTGAAGATTTTGAAGGAATTCGTCTTCTTTTTTAAAAAAGACCTTTCAAAAAGACAACTGGTCGGGTTTTTCACACGTCTTGCGGGGACACAAAAATCGCCTTTTGCCTATCCCCAAGAAGAGGAGGACTTTAACAAATTTATCAATCTGTCAAAATCACTGATA